CATTTAAGGCTTGAACTTCTATCTAGAAATTAGGAGACATCTAAGAATTCTTCACTAGTTACCCATCCATTTTCAATAGGATGTTTTAGAGCCTACAAAATATTAAGTATCAAATTGATATTCAAACAGAATAGTATGAGATTCTATTTTCCCATTTTTTGTATACAGTACCTTGTTTCCTCATATTGAGCTCCGGAGTATAATCTAATGGATACCACATATATATTAGGTTTACCATTACATAGCGTATCGTGAAGCGAGAATCTGATTCCCTAAGATTAATCGTTTTGTTTGTCTTGTAGCTTCGCAAATGAAAACGTTTACGCCTAGCGTCCAAGGAACGTGCAGGGTAGTTGATTGGCATGGTGCGTAAACATTCGCAAAAAAAAACTAAACCAGAGACCAGACAACATTAACTGGTGACGTTCGTATTGTCTCAGCGTTTGAAATTTGCAAATCTGACCATTTAGGAGCCTATGGTGAGGTGCACCTAATCCGTAACCCATTCAATCGCAAATACATTCCAAATGATGTTATTGCACTTAAAGTTATTGACCTTGATCACAGACGAGAAGGATCGAAGCAAAAATTTAGAAACGAGGTGAGTCACTTCTTGCTTGTCACTTATTGTTGCCATTGATTTTTCTTGAAACAATTTTACATGCGGTGCTGCAGAGTGCATAATGCGGCACCCATGGGAGGAGCGATCTTAGTTGACCAACTGTACTTTACTCGTTCTCATGCTCACGAAGACAGAGGTACTCTTTGGTATTTCTGCCCTTTCAGATAGGTCTGATGATGTTGCGTTTTTGTTAGGCTTGCCCTCATTTTGAATGTTGATTTATTAGCAAGAAGCAAAGCACAGCGCTCGAGTGGAATTCCTTATTGAAAAATTATGAAAAGGTCACGAAGGTGTAGCTTCAATAAAGGGGTTGATAAACAAATTGTATGGTGCAGTACTGTTATACGACTAACAAAATCCAGAGTCAACCCATCCAAGGCATGTTTGGCGAAGATTAGCATGGAATTCAATTTTAACTACAGAAGAAGAGAGGGGTCGTTCCACTCTTACGCTGCGCAGCGAGAAAGAAGGATAATCCTGAATTCGGGACAAATAATTGTTTTAGGTAGCACTACAAAATGCGTTAACTCCACAACGGCATCCGAATATCGTTCAGTGCTTCGGATCAAATTATGAAGTTGAGTTGAACCAGCTTCAAATTTTTCTCGAATATGTCAACGGCGATGATGTACGAACGATTATCGGTGAGCGCAGTCTTTCTTGGCAAATCTGTATAGCTCCGGTATGAAAAAATGTCACCTAACACAATGACGACAAAGACGCGCATGCGCGTCAGATTTTCACGCAAGTGGGCATGGTTTTGCTCGATTTACAGGGTATTTTTTATGTTGGAAAGTTGTCCCTCTACATCAATGGATTCAGAAAATACTACACATTACGTAATAATAAAATTATTGAAAGAGTAGTGCTGATTTTGGGAGACTAAAAAAGAAAAAAGATGCCGAGGAGCACGCACAACGAACTGTCGTCAATGCGACAAAGGAGTTCCCGATAGGACATTGATTTGTAGATTTAGGCATCTTTCCGTAGATTTAGGCATCTCTCCTATTTGAATTATCTTGTTTCATAAAATGTGTAGGACTTCTTTTTTAACTATCTTTCTTACTGTATATACATCACATTAGGAGGAACACCTTTTTCAGATTCAAAACACCGCAGGGGGTTAGGAGTGCGGAACGCCCGCGACTATTATCGTCAGTTAATGAGGAGTGATTCTGCATAGCATTCACGTGCCATGAGTTTAAGCGACAACTTATTATACATCCAGTAATGGTGCGATTAGCTTGAATTTAGTGTAATGGTTTGAGATGTTATCTCTTCGTTATTAGAGGAGAGTTAGTATTTTGCAGGTCTACTGAAGATCACCGATTTTGGGATGGCTACTAAATTAGAAGATGACTTACACTAATGAAGAGTTCCCCTGGATCGTATGTGTGGCACCCGTGACTACATGTCACCGCAAATGTTTAAAAAGAAATACTTGTGAGTGCAAGCTTTTGTATCTTCTATAGATCATTTGAGATTATTCGACGACCAGCCATGTCATTAATGCGTGTAATGGGTTTCACGGTTGTAGCAGAATTCCTTGACGATTTCTCTTGTATTCAGCTAATCGACTGTCAAAATGACATGCATCTATAGATAAAGGTGAAGATGTGAGTATTGACTGCATTGTCATTGATTGGTAAGTTTATTTTATCGAAGGTCTGCAGGAAGGCAGAAGCTGTCGGTAGTTTATTCAATCTTATTATATTTCTAAGTTTGATTCTAACCTCGTTGTAGTTGTCAAATCTGAGAACTATTTATGCATTGATAGCAGACGCACAAAAGACTTAATTATCCGCTAACAGCATCATTAGTGATTTTTAAATTGTTTCAAAAAAAATCGTTCTTTTTTCTTTCTGCAGAGGCTCTAAAAACGACATATGGGCATCAGGGATCATCTTACTTCTTATGCTTGCTGGGAGGCGATCATGGAGGCGGGCAAGAAGTGTAAGTTTTTTCAAGTTAATATGGTATCTCCAGTCATAGCATGAGATTTGGTTAAGCCGTATAGCGTTAGCCTCATGCTAATCCAGTGATGTTGGTCATTGACCAAAGAGATTCATTGCTTTCTAGAAGCGATCAACATTTCGCACTGTGGATGGAGGGGGGACTGCCACGCCCATTCAATCATCTGACGCCTGGAACGCTAGGTCAGCCGTTTTCCCCTATGCGCTAGCTCGTTTTCACTAATTTCTAATGACGATCTGTTTTTTGAGCATTCTTAGGCATAGTCGTTCTTTAAGTTATAGAAAGACTAGAAGCGGCGAACATAGTTTTCGAGTAATGCTCAAACTAAGCACTGCGACATAGTATATTCCTTTACGACCTTATTTTCCTAATGGTGGTTACTTGCAGATATCTTGGAATACGTGTTAGATGTGAATGAGAAAACACGCCCAACAAGTAGTGAAGTCCTCGACCATTCGTGGTTAGCCTTATGACACATCTTTCCATATGTGCCAGATATTTTGGTCATGTTACACGTGCGGAATATCGCCCTCACTGCTTCTCTCACACTAATGGGTAAACTGGAACTCATGCTTCAAAAACGATTCCATATGACTATTCAAGGGTTACATATTGAACGACAGGGTTGGTTATAGATTATTTAAAGGCATATTGATTTGATAAAAAGCACTATTATCGTCCATATCGATGTGTTTCTTATTAGTAAATCCTGTGCATTTCATGTTCCCACCGTTTTTTCAACCCAATACATCGCTACATTACTCATTCATTGAATTATTGTGAAATAAGAATCTCAGCAATTGTTATGTGTGACTCATTTCGTTAGTCGCTCCCTTCCCTTTATTCGTGTGCTGCGGTGTGCTTGTGTACTGATGTTCTCATGGATATTCATTAGGTTTGTTATCGATCTGCCTTTTTATACATAAGAGTTCCTTGATTAATCAGGATTATTGTCGAACTTTCTATACTGACGGGTTTCTGTTAGCCTTTATGCCGACAATGGGTATCGGTTTTGCATCTTTCGTCGTTTTTGAAAGTTATTGTTTACGAACTTTGCAGAATAAATTGATATACTCAACTCAGAAACTCGACAAAGGTTTGGTCCGTGTACTGCCGCAATTAGGGTCGCCAAGTCTACTTTTTTCTCTTTTTTTTGACAGACGAAGACAGCTAGTGCTATTCCAACTTTGCTATAAGTGGGCCGTATCTCTAAAAAAGGCTGTTTGAAGCCAGATCGCAGCGTGTTTATTGGAAATCGATTAGCTTTCCCACTCTATATAATGTTCAAATGTTAACAAGATATGTTTTCAACTCGACAAGGTGAGTGCATCATCGTAGGTACCCAGTGTAATTGTATGCTTGAGGAATTACCCGTGTCACAGAAACTTGGAACCAGCAGTAGGTGTGTCAGTTAATATGAATTTTGAGGTGACCTAATCAAATAAAATGAAAGAAGTCAGTGTAGATTCTTCTCTTCCACATTCTTCAAGCACCCCTCCTTTTCTGACAACTCAAACCCCTATTCTTTGAGGAAACTTTGGAACATATGAAAAACTTATCGCTTGCATAATCAAAAAAAGCAAAGGTTTTTTGAGAAAAAAATCCCATGGGAGCCTATTTATTAAAACCCGAGGATAACAACCTACCTTCGTTCTTCCCACTTTCGCATATTTACCAACAAATGATCCAAGCGGGATTTACTTTCTACTCACTAAACATGTGGAGAAGTTGTCTGCTATGACATGCGAATGAATTAAATGAAGCTAAAATATTTGGGATTTTTGTCCCGAAGGCTCCTCTTCTTTCTATTATTTAAATATTGTTGCTAAAATTTATAGAATCTAGAAAAAAGCTCTAGGCGCCGGGTGCCCCTCTCAATCCTAAAAAATGGAATTACTTTTTATAGAATGAGGAAGCCGATAAGCGCCGAAAAGTTGCCTTGCCAAACGTTTGGGAAACCTCTTTTGCTTTAGCAACATATTTCTGAAAGTACTAAATTGTCAAACACTATTCCGATTGTTAGATTTAATTAGCTGGCGTGCTAGTCACTGTTCCCGCAACGCACTACGTCAGAGTATGTCATCATGTTTTCGAAACTCCTGGAAATCAAAACAAGACTTGTGACATTATCGAAAAGTGCACTTGTGTGAGCGTCTATTAGTTTCAAGTAAACAGTTATTGCCACGTCCTGGACGATGTGCCCCTTCCTGTTTCAAGATACGTACTCTTGAAATTTCGGTGACAAAAACTTTATCACGTCGACTTTATCTCTTCAAATAATAATGTCGTCCTCTCATTACCTTCTTTCTACCTTTTTGATTCTGTTCTATTTATTCTTTTCTTTATCTTTTATCCTATTCTCTCATTTTATTAATTCTTCTCCAATTAACTATGCAAAACCTATAATTATTGCACAGATAATAGCATTCAAATATATTGGAGATTATAATATGTTATCAATATGAATTCTTAATCGTGATTTTGTCTGCCAATCCCACTACCAGCCTTGCCGACCACCTAACTAATCTAAAACTTGCCCGCAGTCCTTCGCTGTAACATTATTAGCTCTCGTGCTGTTACTTCAATAATGCGATCGTGTATTTCGTTGAGGTCATCCTCAATCGCACAATCCGCTTGATGACGTTCCTCGTCCATACAAATCGTATTTTAATCACAGTTCCTGCACACACTTCGTTTTCGTCGATAACGTAATCGGAGTAAAGTCGCGGTATCCTCTATCCGCTTTTGATGATATTTTTAGAGAACGTATTGCTCTCTGCTGCAACTGGGAACGTCTTACCGCGGTGAGAAAATCGCTCACAGTTACGCTTTGGACGTTCCAGATCAACGGTAGGTGTTAGTCAAAACTACAGGGTGACCGACAGGTCAGTCATACCCAACAGGTATCGGCTGTAACCCCAGGTCGACCCCGCCTTCCGCATGGATCACTGCATGCAAATAACTAAGCATGTTATAGGACTGCTCATGTCTTTTGTCACCATCGACTACTATCCCCATAATGTCACTTCTTCCGTGTATATCTACCATATTCAATTGTGATGAACAGCGTATGTCCTGTGGTTGCCGCTCTGACTCATTCATATCGACGACATGTTCGCCCACGTCGAGCGACTCTGGATATGATGGGTCGTGTACGTGCTCACATGAAACCCTTAGTATACGATCACGAACTAGCAGTGAAGACGATGATCTCATCAGATGCAGCTCGACCTCAGAAGAATTAGAACTACAACCTATTCGCTATAGCATAATCAAGGATCTAGGATCTGGTTAGTCAATATTACCATTGCAAAATGATGTTCTTCAAATTTCCCCACTGCATTTACCCCGCTTAGAGTCTCATTTCTCTTTTTTTCATCATAAATGATAATGCAATAAATAGTTATACTTGATCCATTCCAGGTAGTTTTGGAGAAGTCAGCCTAATTGAAAATCCCCTAAATCGGAACATTGTTTCTGCTCGAAAAATAGCACTGAAACGTATACGATTATCAAAACTGAATGCAAGGCAAAAAGAAGAGGCTGACTATGAGGTGAGTACTAATACAGCTATTTCTTTGCACAGTGGTTATTTCATGTTACCAAGATCTTCTTTCGAAAATAACTAACAAAAGGAACTTTTTCTTCCAACTAGAATTCGTAGAAACTCGTATAACTTCGTACTCAAAGTATGGCTTTGAGTACAAAATTTGTCCAAAACACACGCGCTAGAGTCCATATGCTCTAAATAACGCGAAGCGACGTAACTTGTAGACCTTGTAGGTTCCAACGCTGTTGATAACATGGTGATAAGGAGCGGCCAAAAACACTAATTAACTTTCCGAGCTGCGACGCTTTTATTGGCAACGGATTAGAGATATATGTGATCAAACATCTAGAATGAAACATCAACAACAATTTATGTAGCCCAAACCAGAAATCACTCCAAAGCAAAAGAACGCTTTTGGTTCAGAAGCGCTGCCAGAACTCTAAGTCGTTGTAGGGTCTGTGAAGTGTAACAAGAAAAAAATTGCCGAAAATGTATCCAGTTTTACAGTTTCGTTTTATTTTGAACACACTGATATTAACACGATATTATTAATTACTGTATTAATGATGATTCTGCTTATAGTGTCTTTCAGGTTATGCTTCAAGAAACTCTGAGTAAAACTGAAGACAATCATATTGTTCACTGCTATGGTTCTCGTGACGATCGCGTTTTAAACGAAAAGCACATCTATTTAGAATATGTGGACGGCAGTGACCTGTTCGAAATAGCTAGTGAGTCAATTTTCCCTTTATGTGGGTTGTTCATAGTGAAACGATGCTGAACGCTCTGGCTTCAAAACTTTAGGAATTCATTTGAAGCTGAACAACCTCACATCAAAAAATATATTTTCCTCCATCCAGGTGTTTTTCAGTGAATAAAGGCGGTGTTGGGCGGAGAGCAGCTAGTAGTTATTTTCGTCAACTCCTTGAGGGACTCGCCTTTTTGCACGGTCTCTACGTGGCTCACCGTGATATCAAACCCGAAAATCTTTTGATCGATAAAAGAGGTAAGAACGGTTCGATTCTAAGTCCAATTCAGATCTACAGTGGTATAAAACAGCCGATTATGTCTTATTTAGGAAACCTCAAAATCGCTGATTTTGGATTAGCCGACTGCTATCGTGAGTCGGAAGATGAGCCTGATCGTCGACTAACGCGGATATGCGGCTCTTACGAGTATCTGTCACCTCAAGTTTTCGAGAATGATTACAGGTAATTAACCTGTGACATATAAACGAAAACGTTGACGTGAGGCGCAGATATCTTTATAGTGGTCCAAAAAATGACATATGGTCCGCCGGCATTGTTTTGGTTGTGATGCTCACGGGTGATCTTGCCTGGGATCGAGCCGACAGGTTACTTTATGATTCCTTTGGTCGTTGAACGATGCCTGGTAAAATGCCAACTACTTCCAGTAACGACCTTTGCTACACTCTTTGGAAGAATGGTGAACTACCAGCTCTCTTTAAGAAATTTGATCGGTCAACAATAAGTGAGTTTCGCTTTCATATAAACCAAATCTTGTGTAGTGATCTATTTTTCCTTCAGGTATAATTTCTGAAGCTCTCGATATTGATGAGGACCGACGTCCAAACTCTCAGCAGTTACTGAAGCATCCATGGTTGCGTTCACTATCGAGTAAGGCCTTCCTTATGCCTATAGTAGACCCACGGCAAAAATATAATAAGTTACTCACAATTTACCTCTTAAGGGTTGTAAAGCAGATATTAGCCGTAGGAGGCCGATTAGAAGGTGTTATCTCGACAGGGTATCATTAGGTAATTACCTGAGTGGATGGGCAGAACAGAACTTGACTTCTCTTTGACAGGGATGATTACAGTTAATGACATTGCGGTTTTTTCAAAACTCATTTTCCCTCAGTTCGGTGATCTGTGCGAGGAAGCAAAGGAGTGTAGGGGTAGGGCGGTACTGGAAATTTGGCGTACGTTAAGCGCAAACCATTACCCGGACATGGATCAAGATTCGACAGCACTCAAATTCCCTTAGATGATTGATGCTGAAGGCAAATTTCTGATCAAGTTATTAGACAAATCCCTACCGCCCATCAAGTTACGTGGTCCGCAGTCGCAGAGATGAAAGCACTCTTGAGGCTAACAGTATATCAAAAGTGGGCTGGGGTATAGGGCTAGGACCTGTAAACGCCTTATGGAGCCGCAACCACCGCTGGGATGTCTGTGTTCAACTTCTTCTCACGCTCTCTCGTTTCTGTAGCTCGTTCTCTCGCCTTGGCGTTGAGGGTCTATTTATCTACCAAAGATCCGCACTGCCTAAAAGAATAGAGAACCCATTAGGAGGGTTTTCAGTGATTCCTTCTTTTCACTGACGAATGAACTAATAGCAACCGTCTCATATCTGAACCCTATTACACCGCCCCTGCTTCGCCAAATGTTTCTACGGCCGCTCGAAGTGAAGCTCTTGCAAAACGAAAAACGAACGATGCTGCACACTAAACACACTGGTGAGCGGAGCGGTCTTGGGACAAATGCTACTGCTTCCAGTGGCGCATTAATTATCTGATGAGCATCCACTTTATCGTACTTGCCTTCGGAGGAATAACTCACGTGGAGGTCGCAAGGTCGAAGAATGGCAAACTTAAGAACGGAAAGGCAGGAGTACCCACTAAAGCCGGGTGAATCCAGCGCACAGTCTGACACAGGCTTAAGGGTGCGGACTGACATGTAATTCGCAGCGAAGGATATGCTCCGGCGACCTTGCACAGCCCTTCCCCGGTCTGTCCACACGGTACGGCGGTATCGACTGGATAAAAACTGTTCACATGTCTAAGCATCAATGTGGAAATTAACAGGCAAGGAGGCGGTCCCATTTTTCGGGGTCTAGACCGTTTCTCATGGGTTTTCCTTCATCCCGGCACCACTGACCTTTTAATGAGCTGCCCTCTAGTCGTAATCTAATATTTAAGGGGCCCTGTGGTAGTGTGTGAGATGGTGTCCATGGCGGTATAGAACCCGTTCCTCCAAGAAAACATTGCTTTTGAGTCTCTTAGGGAATATGTCAAATTTGAATAAATACAGCATTTTTTCAGAAAGAAGTTATAATAATAACAACAACGACGATAATGAGAAACCAGTAAAACGCTCAAGATTAAGTTACCGATAACAGGATTCAGTGGAGACTTCTATAGGGTTTTCAATACAACAACCCTACGGTTATAATGTACGTGTACGTCGTTACGGTGTCTGACGACAGATTATTATATGGTTATTTAACGTTATTTGAACACTTGTTAAGCTGTTACGGTTTTGTGATTCAGAAATACGTCTTTATGATGTATCAGTTATTTTGACTGTATTTCAGTGCTCTTAATTTCATCAGCCTATCAATAGGTAATGAATACGTGAAGGTGATCATTATCAAATATGTGTACATTGCTTTCCGTGGTTCGGGTACCAAATATTGTTAACACGTTTTTTTTTGAAATGATGATAATTGCTGAACTATTCTCAGTAATAATAAAATTTTTGTAATTTGAGTAGTAGTGACTTTACAAATTCGAGTAGAAAAAACCACTCAATTCACTGAGATACGTTTCTATTGGAAGGATTTTGAAAGTTACTGCACAGTTGTAGAGGCTGAGATATGAAAAAGGATATAATGTAACATCCCTCTCAAAATGCCATATTTGAGCGACTTGAAAAATATTGAATAACATGATCGAAAGGAAAAATGGAAACTAGTAGTAATGAAAAACCTTTGCTTCAAAGGTCGTTCTATATACATGTACGATAAGTGTTGAATAAAGCGCTGTAACGAAGCTGACAACTCGAAGAAGGATGTTACGGTGTGGAAGAGGAAGCGCTATTTTGACTACAAAAAGATGGTGGGACCCCGAGGAGGAGATTACAGGCATGTATCGCGGCGAATGGATGCGTCACATAGCTAACTCTGCCAAGCGCCACCTGCCGTGGTGCGTCCTGCCTCCTACTGCGTAACCCGGATTGTGTTTGGTTGGAAGTGGTACTGTTATCGCGTACTTGACTCTTCATTTTGAGCCAATGCATTTTTGAAATTTTCTAGGTATGCTTTAGCAATAGAAGGATGTTTGTTGGGATGATACCGGCTATCGAGATTCGGGACACTTACAACGAGCTCATGGTCAGTTAGGACTCTAGCCCGTCCAAAGCGAAATCAGAAGCGGGTTAAAAGAGCCCCATTCGCGGGTTTGAGCCATTTTCTCTAGGCTTTTTCTCGTCAAGTGCACACCATACCACCTTTACTTCAACTCCAATGAGCTACATTTTTTTGTAGCATCCGTCTTAGAAGCGGGCTTGACCTGCTACTAGGCTTATAGTTAGCCAAAATGCTGTGAACTCGGAAATGTGAAAGGGCATGAAATTTTTTAGAAAATGGAAAATGAGCGGTATATCGAGGAGAAGGGTTGGTAATATATTGATTGTGACAGAAGCACTGGCGACGGCTGCCTGAGTGTAACCATCTCGTAACCAGTGATGATACCGACTGTAAGCTTTGCGTTATTCGGCAAAGATGTAGTAAGAACTTTCTCGCGAAAAGCAACTTTCTTCGTTTCTGCTCCTCTCACTTCCACTGAACATCTCAACCGAACTGGATCAAGCGATAACTTCGAAGGGCAATCAACGGCATGGCAGCAACACAATATTCTGCGAGCGTTTCTTGTTCAGTATGATCGGTGCATTGAAGGTGCATACGAGGTGATTATTGAAACATTCCACTATCCACCACCCCTCTAAGCATTTCATTCTACAATAACGAATGAGTATTCAGATAAACCTCGTTTCGATACCAAGAGAAATTTTATTTTGCGCCTAAAATTTTCATCAAAATTCTGTGGAAAGCATTCCACGACTGCACATCTCCAAATGCACATGTCTACAGCTATTAAACTTTGGAGTTAATGCTTTCAATGTTTCACCGAAGCTAGTTTATCGCAGCATATTACTAGCCATGTCTAGAGAACCTTCTACTCTTTTTGTAGTTACAGTTAATAAGAAGGAGTGAACGTTTGACAAAAATAAGAAAACTCGACTTTTTTTTGAAATAAAATTCGAATCAGCACTAGAATTAGCAATTAGATTAGTCGCTATTATATACACACTTAAGGACCAAATTCCGGGACCACTTCAAAAACACCTTGTGCGTATGAAGTTACTCTAAAAATATCACAAAAAAGAGAAGGAAACAAAGAAAGAGGAAGGCACTCACCTGCCGATCAGCTGTTCCAATCTTTGACATAGCCATCCCAAGCAGCAAAGCAATGGACGGGAATTTATCAAGCGACGCCAGTACTTCGTGTACGTGAAACATATTGAAGTTGGGTAAGTGACCGTTCAAACCAAAGGCATACAGCAGTCCAGCAGCAGTCGGAGGTGAAATCTGAAATCCACGACTCGAAACAATTTGGGATCACTCCATTATCAGCAGTAACTTCAGTTGTCTGAACCTTAAAGGAGGAATTCACGATAAGAACGAAGGTCGAAGAAGGGGAAATTGCATAGTTGGGAGACAGGCGGACCTCCTGAGGGTGCTGACCGACGCGCAATTGGCAGCGAAAGATTTGACCTCGGCGATCTAGCATGGCTCAATCTTGGCGCGGTTGGCCGGTGTACGCCCACCGAATCACTCGCCGCAGGTCTATACGTGGCGAGTGATTAGAGCGTAGTGTTGGAGAGGGCACAGCGATGAGAGTCGCATCAATGCGCAAATCAACGGGCAAGGAAGGGGTCCCATTTCTCGGGTTCTGGGCCGTTTCTCATGGTTTTTCCTTCTTTCGTGCATCACTCTCTAACTTAATTTGAAATGGGTTGCTTTTTCATCGTTAATTCGTCCTTTAAGTGCATAAAATTACCACTACCAATCGAAAGGGGTAAGCAATAGGTTTACGGTCCCAATCCTAAGAAAAACTATAGATAAGAATAACCTCGGAAATGAGCTCACCTTGTCGTTTGTATGGCATAAAGTCAGCCATTCGTGATCAACCCGGGCTACATCTGCGCCAACCACAGACAGACCGGCGGCAACACCATTGTAGAACTCACCCCATTCTCGTAGATGTCTCAAAGGCTGCAAAGAAGATCTGTGAAATTCTGCTTTTGATCCAATAACACTTTTACAGAAATTTCAAGGGGATGATAAACATTCTTTTTATAACTGGGAATGCTCACCCAATGGCTTCGGACCACCTGTGGTCCGAAGCCATTGGGTGAGCATTCCCAGTTACCGCGCACTTATTTTTTTATACTTAATGATTCTGCTTCGTTAGTTTTTTTTTCTACTGGTTAAGTGAGTAGTCATAGGGGAGGTAAAAAAGGAAAACTAAAGGCAGCGATTACGATAAAGAGGGAGCGCATCGGGAAGCATATGCACCACACGAATCAGTTACTTGGCTGCCAGGGAAGCGAGGTGTGGCGCTTTCACGACGAAAGGTGCGCTGGTTGCTGAGCAGGACTTCGAAAGCACTCCGCCCCCAAAAGCGATCCGCCCACTAGTTTAGTTGGTGATTTGGACGAGCTGCGTTGCCAGCAGCGGCACAACTGGAGCAACTCGATTGGAGCGTGGTTTGGCATGGTGCCAAACGCGTTGCGATGAACTCGTTCATACGTCCGCTTTCTGAGCTGTTACCTGTTCATGAGTGAAAACCAACGGCCAAAAAGGGGTCCCGTTTTGCGTTTTCTTGACGGATTTCTCTTTTTCGCCACTGGCGTACCATTGAGCACCACCACGTCTCCACTAAACCCTTCTTGAACTATCGTAATCGCTGCCTTTAAGAGCGATTCCGAAGTTTTTCCAGAATTAAGGAGCGGAGAAGTAGGAGATTGAACCTCCACTGATTAGAGGAGATTGAAAGACGTGTATGAGGGATCAGTTGCATGTTGTTGAAGTAATGTAATTGCTTAGAAGGCACTATAGACAGGTCACTGATGCGTTTGCATGCTGCCCCGCATCCGAAAAAATCGCTAAACATCGGGTTCGCCTTGAGAGAGAGATCAGCGCCTCTAACGATAATAATAAAAATATTATACACTACGTCATACCTCTGTTAGGGTAAGATCATAAGTCAGATTTGACGGATAAATACGAGCCGAAAGACACAATTCCGGTACGTATAGCGCTTCTGCAGGATTTGGTAGAACAGTGCTAAAAACAAAATTTGACAGACTTCTCTGAAATAACAAGCTTGCAGCAACGGATGAAAATACTTCAACGAACGATGAGATCCTAGCTCAACTAACCGGAACGTGAAAAACGCCCGACCGAATGCCTGTGCCAGGTAGCGAGTCCAGGTGGCATTGAGGAATTGTTCTTGTGCTTCACGTATTTCACCGTCTGTACCAGCATCTCTGCAATATCCGAAATTCTGCGGATAGTTCGGAGCTTATCACTGTGGTATACGGTATTGAGATCGTGCAGTTTCAATATATCACCGTCTCATAAAAAAAGGAAATACGAAGCGGAAGTTTTTGACAACGATTGCGGGCATCCCTTCAAAGACTTCACTGTCTTTTGAGAAAACTGTGAAAAACCGATGAGCATTTTAAATGGTAGTATTCCCTCCAACAAATGCAATGTTGGTTTGGTGGGCGGAAGTTGTAGCTCTCAGCAAGAATTTTGAAGCATTTGGTACACACATGCGAATTTGCACACTGGACCCAGGAATTTTCAAAAAAGTATAAAAATTGGGGGAAAGTTAAATTGTGAACCAACAATAGAAAACAATAAGCAACATATTTCGCAGTATTAATGAGCAAAAAGGACTTTCTGAGATATTGATTTTCCATAGTAATCGGCCCCAAAACTTCCTGAACTCAGAAAAGCGACACACTAAGATATCCGGTACCTAATACAAGTAATTATTTGAGAACGTGATCATCAAGGATTCTCTTATGCCTCTTCCTAGTGGCAGCAACATTTTACACTTTTACTGCTCCAACTATCGCTGAATCTAAAGCTCTCAGATCTGAATTACGTACTGAACCGTGAAGCGTCACTGTACAAGTGGCCGCATCGCTTCATGAGCATCTTTGGCTCCGCCTAGGTGTCTGCGAAGTGCTCATAGTGTATTGCAACTCGAAGCAGGGTCAACCCTACGTTGTTACTAGTAACAACGGGGGGGGGTCGTACCT